CTCGCGAGCTGGTTGCGCCCAACGAGCTACGCTCAAGATGCGAGCTGCTCCAAGCGACGTGGAATTTCTTAGGCACCCTCCATGTCTGAGTCGTATCTTGGTGAGGAAACAGTCAATTTTGCTCGTTGCCTGAGTTCCCATGAATCTGTAAGGGTGCGATGCGTCTTCTGCATTCCAGCCCCGCTTGTTATTCACCCGCGCTGCGGCGCTGCGGCGATGCGCTTCTGGCAACACTGGGTCCGCTTTGAACGGACAACACACCCAACCCAGCAGTGACCTCGATAACTTCAAAGATTGCCACTGTACTAGACCCAGTAAGAGTCGTTTTACCGGTCTCCAAGTCGGTGCCTGCTTCCGCAAGTCCGTTTTTGTTTCCCCAAATTTTTACCGGACCTGACACAGGCGGGGCCCAAGGTCCCTGTCACAAAGAAAACTGGCTCCTGCAAAAGGGAAGCAAAGTTTGGAAACAAATGGACCCCGCTCTTCACATGAAAACTAATGGGGTCCCATTTTGGTTGGTAGCTGAATTCACCGCCCATTTTAGAACCTATAGTGGGGATTGGGATGTTCACTGGGGGTACGAGATTTGGATTTTGACCCATGGCCACATGTGGCTGGGAGAACTGCACCTGGATTCACAGGCAGCACCTCGCGTTGAAGGCGTAGGCACGGTTGAACCCAGAACGCCTTGGTGCGAGATGCCATTACTCGTGGGTATGAGACAAAATAAGACAAAAAAAAGGACCGCATGACCGCATGTTTCAGTCTTTGGTTCCATTTACCAGGGTTCCATTTTGGGCAAGCATTTTTGACCGACAGCCAAATGCTCGATTGTATTCCTCCCGATTGACCACATACGTGTGTGTCACGGTGCCAACAGGCAACAGGACAGTGACACGGAACAGACACGGGGAAATCGGCGAGTCGCCTTCGACCAACATTTACTTCCCCCGTAATGCCCATATCCAAATTGTTCGAATAGTGTGTGAAGGAAGGAATCGACAATTGCGGACATGTCAAGTCGTGTCAAGTCCAAGCCTCATCTGGACGTTTCTCTTGAACGGCAAAAGTACAGGGATCCCTGCATGCAGGATATCTACCGGAGACTTGTCGTCCGGCTTGCCTGCAGGACGCGGGCGGTGAAACTCGAGCTTCCCACGCTGTTTGAAAGCCGCCAGCGGGGTCTGGCATTGGACACCCCGTTGCAACTGGAGAGATACTGACCTGCCTGCAAGTATGAGGAAGAAGAAAAACAACATCAAGTTGAAAAGGACATTGGGTACAATAATAAGTCCCCTTTAAACATCGCCCACCAAAAGGAAGATCCATTCAATACGACCTTCAAAGCAACTACTGGAACTCTTGGGGTTCCCTAAGGTGAAGGTATTCACGGCTTGCCTTCAAAATCACCAAACCCTGGTGGTTGGGTCAATAGAACCATCGCTTACCCCACTTAAAATAACCATCTGAATCTGATTCCAGAGCATCGCATTGGACCAACCGGCTTTTTGGCTGGGAACCGTTGCAATTTTCGGGCGGAAACCCCCTGGCCCAGCGCCGAGCCGGCGGCACGATGTTGGGGACGCAGTCCCAGGAGGTGCCGTGCCACATGAGCCGCTCCTCTGCATTTCGAGCGGATGGGAAATCCAAAAAAAACTAATAACCCAAACTGGCGGATCATAAGTGCCTTTTGGAAAAAAAACATGGCCCTGGCAAATGGAACAAACCCCATTTAAGCCAGGGCCCTCTAGTTGTTGAGCAAACCAACCAAAAAGGACACCTATGTGGTTGATCCAAAAAGGAAACCAAGCAAAAAACAGCCCGTGTCCATTTGATGGGCTCTTAAGTTGACAACTTTGAAACGTGAAAACAAGGAAACAACAGACATGGCATCATCTTGCCGGGGTTTCCCCACTGGGAGACTAGGCAAAGGGAACAGGGCTGCCCACTTCTGTGATACAATAAAAAGTGCTTCCCACAGACTAACCCCCATATAAGGGGGGAGATTCCGTTGTGTCACAAAAGTGGGGGAAACCCTTGATCCCACAACCCTGAAAGGGAAACCCAACGAAAAACAGCCCGTGTCCATTTGATGGGCTCTAAAGTTGATGACTTTGAAACGGGAAAACAAGGCAACAACAAACATGGCATCATCTTGTCGGGGTTTCCCCACCGGGAGACTGGGACCCAATCTTGGCTCGCAAAGCACTCTCTAGGCTAGGAACGCACATCTAGCCACCGATAGCCACCGATAGCCACTGTTCCTGGAACTCGGTAGACAAAGGCACATCGCATGGACTAGGTCGATCTCGTTGTCTTCTTTGCGAGGCCACGACTTCCCTGCTTGTGGCGATTGTCTGAGAATAGGATCCCTGGAAAGAATAGGGAAGTATGGCTAAAACTATCATTTGAGCCAACCAAAGACTTAGAATCTGACAACAAATTCCTTAACGAAGTCTTTCCTACCCTTTCCATGATCATCTTTACTCACGACTACTATCTCAAACCTGCTTCGTGCACTGTCAAAACGCCAACCGCAACCTTACACTCACACACACAAACTTACAAATGTCCGGCACCAAAGAAAGTGACATGCCGAGATTCCCCCTCCAACTTCTGTTTGAACCCTTTCCACATGTCATAACCCAAGTTGTTTCATGGGAACCCTAGATTTCATAAACCCCGAAGGCTGATCAATAATTAGCGGGTGTCCCGTTCTCTTCCATAGCTCGCTATCTTCCTTGCTGGTGCGATAGGCAGGGAATGAGAAATGGAATGAACCTGGGGCTTCCCCAAAAAAGGAAACCATGAGTGGGACAGTTCTTTTTCCTCTAGGGGTCATTCCATTTCTGAATTCCCTGCGTCTCTCGCATCAAGCTTCCATCCCCCGCGCCCCCCTTCCCCCCGGCCCCAGGGCCCCGCGCGGGGCCCAAAGAGGCGCGCACCGCCGAGTAGGCCGCCGCCAACGCCGACGTCTGCGCTACCCGCGCCACGAGGCCTCGGATCCAGCGAGGGTCGATTGGAGCCTCGATCGGTGGGAAAAGCGAAGACAGGTCCGAGGGGAGGCAAGGGTTAGGCATGGACTTTGAGGGGATTCATGGAATTGATTTGGCGAGGGACAGCTTTGTCAGGGAGTCTCAGGGGATCATTCATGGAGGAATTATTTCTTTTGAGGGGCTCATGGCTATATGGTGGATCCTTGTGCAGCATATCTGAGATATTGTGGGGACCTCGTTGAAGGCCAAAGAGCCCAATTCGGCGAAGGGGGAAATCTAAGGTCCTCTGTCAAAGTACGGGCGAAGGTTTTTGCCTCCCTTTAAGCACCAGCCGCCTACTGGGCGTTGAGGATATCCTTTTTGGCGGTTCCCTGTTCATACACTGGCATCCTCTAAAAATGCAGCACCGCGATTTGGAGGAGGTCCCTGCATTTTCCGGACACGGCAAAAAGGCAAGTTGCCAAGGATTGGGAAGGACTTGCCCCTGTTGGGACCAATGAGCAAGCAATGAGCACATTGGGAAAGCTGCACAATATGGTAAAGGTCGCATGCTTGTCTGAGAATCCGATGTACCTCCGACCCTCAGATAAAGGGCCATGGCACTGAACATGAAGGGCTGCAACATGTTGGAGAACATCCTCGAAAATGGTTGGCGGGCATACAGCCCCATGCCACAAAACGGTCCAATTAAGATTCATACCCAAATAACGACCCCCCCTTCCTTTTGGGGTTGGAAGGGACACCAAAACGAAGCATAAAAACTTGGGGTTCCCTATGTTCAGGGTTCCCTACAAAGCAAACCATCTGCTGGTAGCAAGGAGAGAAGCATGTGGCACTTGACTCAGGGCAATCAAGTTGTTCAACCAATGGGATGTTTGAAGCCAGCCATAGAAGCTGAGTATATGGAAGCATTGGGGTCATTTCCTCCCAGTTTGAAGGCTTCTTGCCATTTACCAAACAAACCCGATGTCAGGGGCTGCGAGACTCCAACTGGTGCAACCGTCTAAGGATTGGACACGAGTTCTCGATATGGTCAATGAAGCAACCCTGCTCCAGGTATGCGACATGCCCCATTAAAAATATGGGACACCCCAGAATGGGCCTTCTTTCTAGTTGGCCACCTTCAAAACCACACCAGAACGGGCACCCTCAAGAAGCACAAGACTTGGTACCGCGCAGATCTGGCTGCCAGTGCGAGTGGTGAGCTCGCGGAGCGCCGCTTGCAGCGGGCCCTAGGCGTCGAGCAAAGAGGCTGCTGCAAATGCATGGCTCAACTTCCTGTCAGCTGGTCATCGCTTCAGGTGGTTTGACAACATGAATAGGCTTGTGCCTAAACATGAACTTTGGTTTCTTGTGGTCTCCCTTGAAAACCTAAGGGCGCTAACTGAAAAAACACACCGAAATGGGGTCGGAAACCTCAAAGGGGGGCAACCGGTTCTCCTTGGTTCCTTCAAACCGGCCCAAAAGGGTACCCAGTCAAAAAAGAACGTAATCTTGTCCCAATGTAGTACGTGGCTTGAAGTTGGATGAACTGCAATCCGCCTGTGCGGCTCCTGGAAGCTTTACATTTCTAGCGCGATCCTTCGTGAACTCTCTGAGCAGTCAAATCCTGTCAAAGCAGTCAACACCAGCCAAATCATCTCTCTCTGTCTCATCTGAAAGATCACACATCCCGACGCATGCGTCTTAGATGTTGCAGCTGGCTCAAGTTGCATTGAGATGCCAAAGTTCTGCCGCTCGTTTTGGCTTCCTGCTGCTTGCTGCCAAGGCTCGCCATCATCTATGGTCTCCTCCTGGACCAAAAGTCCTGACGGCTTTGACAAGTGAGGCAGCAACAAAGATATCTCCACTTCAAGACGGCAAGAAGTACAGTATGTATAACTCATGTGCACAATGCAATATATACAATATTATATGCTATACAGGCTGGTTGGATCTCCATGATAGTAAGCCCTTGAATCCTTGCTTGAAAAAGGAAGTGGTGCCACAACACGATGCCAAACACCGCCCTCCGGAATGAGCGATGCACGCAACTTGTCAACGCATTGCGCCGAATCCTTGAGAGGAACTCAAGGAATTCCCTCCCTTTCACCAGGGACGCCTCATCCCCAGGCCCCACGGAAAAGCAATACGCAGGCAGCATCTGCAATCCGCCTTGGTCTCCAAGCAGTGTAATCTCTGACACGTTCGCGGTTGCATCCGAATCAGTGTCTCGCCATACCCTTCCTTTCCCTTCTGTTCAGGGATCCCTTCACAAAACGGGGCAATACAGCCTTGGCACATTGGTGGTTTCTGCAGAGAACCCGCATAATTTTGCGTTGTGCTAACCTGGGTGAGATCAATCTGAGAACAAGCGGGCCTCACAACAATCGTTCCATGCAGTGCCAGCTCAAGCACAGCTGGCCAAACCCAAACAGAGTTCCAAATCAAGCAGCTAAGCCAAAGGGATAAACAGCAAAGCAAATACACAAACCAAAAATGTACCAAACAACAATCAAACACAGCGCAACCGAACGCAACAAAACCAGACACAGCACAAGACAACAAACACACACACACATGCAGAATACAGAGACATCAACAAGTACCCTCCCACCAACTAACATGGAAGTGCAAAAAGGCCTTTTCCAAGAGGAAAGTTGTCTTTCTACAGGGGTCTGTGCACCAAACCCATGTTAGCTGGTGGGAGGGTAAGACAAACAAAATAAAGAACGTCCAACTTTCGCCCAAGAAATCCCATGGCCAGCTCCTTGACTCAGGAGCTCTGACAGGATCAAGGCGCCAGAGTCCAATCGGGGTGCCTGGAAGTCGAATGTCCACCCCAAACCGGGACCAACCGGGGCCCGAGCGGAATTGCGGGAGGCTATATGAGTCGTTATCTATGTTCCCCAATCGGGTTCCTCGCTTTTTGAGTTGGTACCCCCTTTTGGTATACGGTTTTGAAGGAGAGACAAAAGAAACCCCATTTTGGGGGGGGGGCCTAAATAAAGACAAACCCAATTGGATCAACCCCACCGCGTTTCCGAAACTGGCAATTAGCCATAAATGTCTGCCCATGCACTACGGCAAATGACATTGAACGTTTGCTTCGCCTTCTGCCCACTAAAATGGAACCTGGCTGGAGGTGCCTGGAAGATCCTTTTCTTGTTAAGAGGGCGCTCTTGCGTTCTGGTGGATCCATGCTAGTGGCTAGGACCCCCACAAAACTGAACAAAGACAATCGACCGAAGAATGTCAAGGAGAGTGGCTGTATCTTTCCCTCGGAGGTAGTGGTCTCTTGAAGCCATGTCAGTTGCGAGAGCCGGCAACGTGTGCTTGGCAGCCCATTCAGCTTGAGAGTTGCCACGCCTTCCTTGTCGGTCGGATATCTCTCTCGCTAGGGGGATTCCCTTGGTCACGAAAAGTGGGCCCTAAAACCAAAGTTTCCACAACAGTTTGGCATTTCACGGAAAACGGCCACCTAAGCTCTATTTGTCCACACTCCATGTCTTCTTGAGAAACGTCCCGCCTCCCCCAAGCCAACCTGCTTCCTATTTTCACCAAAGGATTTGGAGCCCTGATGTCAAGGGTGTCCTTGTGTCATAGAGAAGACCATCCACAGGAGGGGCGGAGCAATTTCAGGACGCGTCTGCGGGATAGACAACGACACCAAGGCAACTTTGCTTGACCATCTCCCGTGGGGAACACACAAGGCATCACTGGAGGTCTTTTCCAGACGGCGCCCTTTGCTCATTACAGCATGCATGAAAACAAACCACTATACGCTTAAACCGGAAATAAGAAATCCCCAAGTAAGGGACCTTTAGTAAGGGGGCCCTCGCTCGCTTAACCGGCAGAATCGGAGAGTTGTGAGTCATTTGCCCAACAACGGATGTCACTCTCACACGCTGCCTCTCGACGGGGGGGGGAGGGACAGACTGGAGCCACCTGGCCGGTCAAAGCTCTGCATGCGCCGAGTTTCACATGATTCGACCACGGATCAATCAACGCGGAAGATCAATTGGGGTTGTTTCCCACGAAGCAACACCACGGCTACTCACACAAAGGGGTGCCGATTCCGGGACTAATCAATGTATGAGTCAATACCCATGTGGCTCTCGCTTCGAGACATCGTCATACCGGGAATTGGCCACAAAGATAGTCAGAGACTGGCTTTCTCATTTATGCCATGGTCAAACCACCTGCTCTCTCCTTGGTATAGGGATGGTCATGGACCCCGTGCAGAATTCAGACAACCATGATAAGCATTCCTTTTACGGGAGCCGTGACCATGACACACATGCTGAGGACTATTGACGATGCCGCATTTGGGTTGCTCACGCAAGAGCTTTACGACCTCAGAAGAGCGCCCTCCGGGATGTTTGTTGTGGTCACAAGAGTGACCCATGTTCTGGAGAAAAAGTCAGTTGCATCAGGAGGCGCCCAACACCGTGTTGGCACCCCTATGAGCATGGGAACCAAAGAGTTCACCAGGATATCTCAGGTCCCAACAACACCGAGTAAAACCTGTTTGGCCCGAATGTGTGTGGCCTCCCCCCACGTTTGATGAGCTGGAACAGATCAATAGCGGGCGACTGCGACCCATCGCGCACCCGCGCACCCGAGGTTTCTTTGCATTGCAAGCGGCTCAACAGCTGTGCTGAATGGCCGGATGCCGTTGCTGTCCGGACTTGTACCGGCAGCATCTATCTATAGCCTTTGTGAAGGGCTCTAAAAAGCTAGACAGACTAACAGCAAAGAGAGGCCTGACTGGAACATGATAAAGACGTCTCACCTACTAAAGGCTTCAAGTTTGCCGACTCAACAGGCAAGAAGACATGGCACGCCTACAGCCCTTTCACGAAAACACGCATAGCTTTTCGCTCCACGCTAGAACTCTAGTAGGATGTGCCCACCTTCGGTGGGAGCAACGGCTTGTGCGCTTTGCCACTTTCAGCCAGAAGCGAAAAACGACACTGAGCTTGCTGAGTGATGGCAGCTGGGTGCCTCAAATTGGTAGACTTCCCCTTTTCGCATTGACCGCAAATGGTAACCAAGAGGAGACCCTGGCCAGCTGTACTCCAACTCCAATTTGAGCAGCATCGGCTGGCACGGCCGCACTCTGCCAACAAGGGCGCTGCATTATCAGCGAGCTGGCGACAGGACATTTGGACTCCCAGTAACCAGTGACCCGCTCGCTGGGAAAAGGGGCCTCTTCTGTTTGGATGATGCTTTTGCTTTTTGCTTTTCCGGGGAGCTCGAAACACAAAGGGCAACGGGTGCTGAAAAGCTGGGGCCATCTGGGGCCATGTGTGCCGGTGCCAGTTCAAGCCAACAAAGTGGCAGAATTTCGTTCTCACTTGGCCACGGTTTGGCCACGCGGGGTGCAAAAGCCACAAAAGCCGGGCTCTTCCTCGTTCTCCACCTCATCCCACCTGTACTCCTGGTAGAACCTGTACCTTGCACTGATCCAAGCCCGCCTCTGGCTGAATTAGTGGGCCTTCAACACGGGGAAGGCTTGGATATGACAAATACAACAGCCTTGGCGCTGACATGCGCATTCTAACACGGCAGGGTCAAAGGATGTTGCCAAGCAAAAGGACCAGCATCGTCATGTTAAGAGGAATCTCCTTGCAGAAATGGCCCCTGGTTGGGTTCCTGCTGTTGTTCATTTGCCGAGGTGAGGGGGGACCAAACGATGACCTAGAATCTCCCCACAACCCTCCAGTCACATGGCATCCAAAAACGTCTTGGTAGTTGATTTCAAAACGGAAACCGTTCCCAAAACCAAGAATTGAAACCACCCCCTCCCCAAGAAACACACAAATCAATTCCAAGAAGCCGGGAACCGCAAATTGAAGCCTGGACCAAACCTCCAAACCCATCCATCGAAACAGATTCCGCCTGGTGCTGGGGTCTGCGGTGAAGGTGTAGACCGTGGCCCGTTTCCGGCCATCAAAGCCCCAAGAGGGCCAGCTGATGCGCCCGAAGTGACCTCAGCGCTCTGTGTTTCGCGCAGGAGCTCGGGAGGCGTCGCCCCTCGGTGCTGTTGGGAGTTGGAGACCCTTGAAAGGTTTGTTGGTATGGGTGAGAAATGGAAAAAGGATGAAAAAGGACAGTCAAGGCAGGATTGGGTCCCCCGAACCCAACCTGCAAGTGAACCCCAATCTGAAAGAGGGAGAAAGTCTATTGGACCCCATGGCAGGGGTACACTTCGGGCAACAGCAAGTGAGAGCTGCATGAGCAACATCTTACGTTTGTCTCCACACCGGAAGTGGGCCTGATAAAACGGGGCTGGATTTCTGCAAAAATTGAGGCCGTCCGAAGTCCGAATGGGACCCAGAGCTAGTCTTCCCAGTTGGTGTTCAGGGCTGACATCGGATTTGGCGTTGGCTTGGCACTAAACTCTTTTAAATCTCCGAGGGGTTTAGCAGCATTGGCTTGCTGTAGCCCAATCCCTAAAAGCTCTAGACTCTATACCTCGAACCCAATTCGAAGCCAGCCACTTCCCTTCAAGCTGGGAAATGTTGTGGTGGTTGAGCCACCGTCCGCCGTCCCAGTTTCTTGTTTGCTCATCTGACTCCTTTCTTGCCACCCTTCCTTACCCACCAGGAAAATGCAAAACCATCTGGCAAAACATCTCAAGTCCATCCAACGGGGAAGTGAAATCCACTGCCTTCCAACTCACTGAAAGACCAAATCTCCCCTGTCGCTATATCTACCGCCATCTCTTCTTTGTTGAAATTGTATAGTTTCTCTGGGCAAACTCCTACAATAATCTCAAAATGAGGTTGAACCCCTAGCTACAATCTCCCTACATCAGCTGAAACCCTCTATATTTGGCTGTGGGTGAAAAATATGTACCCCAAATAGAACCCTAGTAAGTGGAAAAATGGACCAACACCTGCGGTCCTCTGGTGGTTTAATTTTGACCCATACCCATTTGGGGTCCAAGACGCTGAGCCACTGCAGGCCCTGCACAGGCACCGGCTCCTGGTGGGGCCACAGCACGTCCCTCCCGCAGTTCCTGGGGTCCACCTCACGAGCGACGATTGGAACTGGGCTGCCCGTGTTCTGATCTGCGAAAGGTTATCCTTTACTGGGCTGTCCTCAGATCCCCCCCTAAAAGTGAATAACTTTTAGAAATCCTCACTAAACACTAAAGGCTAAAAAGCTAAGGGGATGGCTGGGAACCACCAAGGTTAGTGGGTTGACTGGAAACCCAACCACTAAACCCTTAAAAACCCAAAACAAGAACTACACGGATGGCTGGGAACCAGCAAGATAAGGGGCAGCCAAAAATGAAAGCCACCAAGTTGGGTTGCGGTCCACGATTTTGGCAGTTGGATTTTGCCAACATGTTTGGGACCCTCAAGTGGAACCAGAAAGTACGTGGTATTCCAGCGACCCCTCCTCGTCACAAAAGGACTTGGAACTCTGATGGGTCTGTTTAAGGTTAAGCCTTACCCAGGTTCCAAGCTTGAGACATCCCCGACATGAACAGAAGGAACATTCAAAGAACCTGAGAAAGTTCCTAAGTGGGCCGTTCTTGGTGCCAAGGTGTGAGACGAGGCGTTGCAAGATGAGCCAGTCTTCCCAAAGCCGACCAAACACGGTGTTGGTTCTTGGCCAATGGGCAAGTTGTGAATGGTGTCAACTGTCTGCATAAAGTGCTCAAGGATATGCACCGTCACAATAGCGATTCTTGCGGCAGCGTAGCTTTGTACAGCCCCACTCGCAAACCACCAAAAACACTTCAGGCCTGGCCATGTTTCCCCAGCAAGCCCCCAACACTGGGAGGTACTTTGTAGTGATGCTTGGGAAGGCGGGCTTGCCACACAGTGCCACGACGGGTGGATTTGTGCTCTAAATCACAAAGCAGGGAAGTGGTACACCAATAAGCAATGGTTTCCCATGGCTTCAATTTGGTGCAGGATTTTATCCATCCCTGGCAGCAAGAACTGTGAGAATAAAACGAGCATACTGAGTACCTTCGACAGTCTTCAAGGTTGTGCACGGTGCCGTGGCGCTAAACAAGTTGCGACCGGACCGCCCCAAACTCCGAACTCCGAGCTCCGCCTCGCCTGGGAGGCGCAGTCGAAAAGCTGCCGGCGGAGCTTCAGCAGAGCTTTGCCCCGGAGGCCTTGCGCCCAACACCTGCGCCACCAGCCACGGACGATACACTTCTTGAGTGGATTTGCCGGGGAAAAGTCTGCACTTTTCGTTCACCAGTTGAAAATTGCCCAGGAAAAGTCGGAAAAGTGGAATTTACCATACTTTGTCTTCCTCACAAAGTCCAGGACCTCAGAAAGTGAGCCTAAGCCTTGTCTCAAGATTTTGCTTTAAAGGTGGGTCGATCCATCGTCGATCCATGGCGATAACATCCGCAAACTATTCCACTAATCTCCTCCCCCTATTAATGAATGACCCCCATTAATAATAAATGCAAATCCGGGGCCCGAGACCAGATTTCCACTCCGCACAATTGATTTTCCATTGCGCCAATTCTAAACCAATACTAAAGTCTTGGAATCCTTATTAGGGGGCACTTTTAGCAAGCTTCCAGCCTCACTTTTCAAAAGGTGGGTTCCTCAATTCCCCAAAAGGTTGCTTCCCCAAGAGCTGGCTTCTCAAAAGGTTGGGTTCTTTTGGTGGGTTCCCCAAACTACATGCTGGCTAATTAACCTGCCTGGCTGCAAACAAACAACCAGTAAACTGGTAAATAAATAGAATGATACATCAAATTTCCTTATTAAACCGCCTACTCGCGGACCTTACAATTCAATCCATTTCCTCCAAATCCTATGTGAACCCTCACATTGTTGGAAAAGCAAAGAACTAGACCACGGTTGGCCCGAAAGCAGAACATCGCAAGCGAGGTCGGCCCAACGCTGCAGGATGCGTTCTTTTTCCCTACACGAAGCATTCGTGAAGCAAGCGCGAGACAG